AGGGATTCATTTGATTTAAATAATTTTTCTGTTTTAATTTTACTTTTAAGGATTTATGTTTGAGCAATTCCATAATTGAGTTTGCTATACAGTACATTTGTGCACAGACAAAACATTTTCCGGAAAATAACATATATGTTTATGATTTTTACATAGAATCTCATTGCATTGTACGGTTAATATTTGGATCACAATAATGACAGCATTGCAACAATTACCATAAGATAGAAACAATGCAATCCAGACAGTGTTGGTGCACTTTATCACTAAGTCTGCATATCTAAAGTTTGTGTAGTGATCTATAGTATACCAAAGAAAACTGTAGTATGTTACAATATTATATGCGGCCATATGTTTACATTCAATACCATCTGTACACAATTATCCCCAATTGGTTAGTCAACCTTACGCATACTATTCCAAACACCGAACGAACAAAATTCTACAAATGTATCAAACTGAATTTCATGGGTTTATGGGTCGGTAGAACTGTTTCATTTTCGGTATTGTAACTTTTTTTGGCGGGGGTATGTTTTGTTTCACTTTCATATGTTAACTTGTTTTAACTTAGTTTTCCTTTTAAATTTATTTTTTCAATAGCTATTTTTCAACACCTTGCACGATTTATTCTTCCTCAAGTTTGTCTGTTCTTTCTCATTTGTAAATTGTTTTGTTTTTTGTGAAAAATATTAACGTTTATGTAGTAATCCATAGTATGCCAAAGAAGACTATAGTATGGTGAGTACTACGGTGTTCGACATTGTGTCATTTCAATACCTGCATTTGCACAATAATGTATGGTATTCCAATACCCAAATAAACAAAAGTATACAAAATCAACAAAGCTACCTTCCAAAAGGCATATATAGATAAGATATTGTGTCAATAAACAGCAGCTTGTTTCGAATATTTCAACACAACTACAAAATAGAGCGAAAAAACCTAACTTCTACAAATGTTTTCGTTTGCGTACAATAGACAAAATAAATGAGACTACTCTATGGCTAATTGATTTTGTATTTCAGAAGGTGTTCTATAATGTCCTTTCTCATTTCTGCGACATACATCTATAATGTCCTTTCTCGTCTCTATAACCACCTTTATTTCTCGTTTTTCACGCAACATTCATGGCTTTTCCTGCGAATATAACAAACCATATTTTAGTTGTGATCAAAGTTAAATGCTTGGGTGAAGATTAAAAAGTACATATCCCATGTAATTGTAGGGTCAGTATATTTATATTAAGAAATTAGGAATATTGCAATTGACAGAAAACCATAGAACATCAGAGTATCCATAATATATCACAGGACTACATTTATTATACATGTAGTTAAACATAAACAATTCATTAGCAATTAGCTTTAAATATGCCACTTAGGTCAGGCTATCAATTAAACAGAGAATCACATAACAGCAGTTGTTTCATAGGTCTATAACATAGATCTGCAAAAAACAAAAAACAAAAATAACATCACAACAAAATAACTGTACCAAAATTTATACTGTTGTCACGCCATAGACTACTGTAGTACAAAATCAACTCACATACTGCCATAGAAACTAGGAGAGACAACACAGTACCCAATCATAGACACCCATAGAAATACATCATCAGTTTATATTTACAAATATATATAGAAGTCAAATATACGATTTATTAGCAACAAACTTACGCATAAGTAAGATTGGTCATCCTATCAATTACATAGACATCATATAATAGCAAATGTTAATATAACATCAGAAAAGGCAGTACAACATGAGGGAATCACTCTTGCACATAAATTTAATGGCATTTCTTCAACTGTTGTTTTTATAGAATACTATAGAAGCACATATAATTTCATAGACTACCATAGAATCAAGCTGCGTTTTTACAATCATAGAAATATACAGGCTTTTTACACCAACTATCTACAATAACACAAATCTAAACCTCAACATAATATATGACTACACTCACAAGTCATGAAACATAGCAGAATACAAACTGCGATTAACCAACAACGGATTGCAATTTTTTGTCACGAAAATATTTACGCGTATATTTTCAATCGGTCGAATCCATAGATTTCTTCGGTGGAATCCATATATACCCGCATAATTATAAAACAACAAACAAAAAAATATACATGCTTTGAATCGTACCAGGGTCTAGTTCAGTTATGTCCTGGTGCCGCTTCATACGCATCTCTCCTGTTCATTCGACTTTGTAAATTCCCCCAAAAAAAATAATTTCAAAACAAAATCAACTCAAAACTTACTTGATCTGGTTCTCTAGACGTAGACATCCGTAGACGTTAATGGCGCCGACAATTCGTTTTTTTTTTTGGATTCTATGATGTTGCTCGCCATCGATTTGCAGACGAGAACGAAAGGAAAAAAAAAAACCCTAATATGGCGAAGAGGGGGCGAAGTGGGGGATAGTGGGTTGGATTATGATACGGTTAATGTGTGATTTGGAAAATAGAATCTCAGAGATTACTAATTGCGGGATTGGTGGGATTTAATTTTATTTTTCCAAAATTAAAAACAAACGGCGTTAATGTGACTGTAAGGGTACTATAGGCACTATTTCACAAAAGGATGTGAGGCTAATGTTTTTATAGACTTGGGTGTGTCATCTAATAAGTTTTCCCACTAGGGATGCATATCTTAAAGCCCCAAATATCATTACCATGAAGTATGTAGATATTTTTATAGTAACTTATTATTTTTCAGTTAAATTTTTTAAATTATATATATATATATATATATATATATATATATATATATATACACACACGTGCAATGCACATCCACTTTTCTAGTAAATAAAAAAAAATATAGTTTTCCTATTACATGTGCATAAAGTTCAAAAAAAAAAGGGAAATAAAGGAACAACAAAAATGCAAGGCATTGTTGGAGTGGTATTGGGATGTGGAGAGTAGTATTAGGTTATATAGGTTCAATCCTTTTTGAGCTTGTAGGACATTTATCAGACCAGTTATTCTATTTTGTTTATAAAAAAATAAATAAATAAATAAATTGGTTCAAACCGCTGCCATGTTTCTTCTTATTTCCTCTTGAATTGTAGAAATCGGCTCTTGCCAATTTTTCAGTTTGCCAGTCTAATTGCATTTCTTTCCGATTCTTTGACGGTCACCTAATTCTTTTGTTGGGTTTTTGTGCATAGGTCCCTAACGAATCATCTTTATTATTCTAGGTTTAGGCGCTATATCTCTTTCACCAATAAGCCCATCCCTTTAATATTTATTATAAATAAAGGAAACATTCATGTATATGACAAAATTACCCACAAACCTTCATACCCAATTCTTAATTGTACACCGATTTAATCAATTTTGACCACAAAAATTCAATTTTGACTTTTTTTTTCAAACACTTTTTTTTTTCAACAAAAATTCTTTTATCGCCGGATTCCGGCGTTGACCGGCCCGGTCTTCGGCGTTGACTTTTTTTAGTGTTTTTTTTTATGTCTGCCTCTAAACGTTGACCGTGATTGTGCTGTCACTGACAGTAAATTAACGTAATTATACTGTCAATCACAGTACATTAATGTAATTGTACTGCCGTTGACAATACATTTATGTAATTATTCTGCCGTTGACAGTAAATTAACGTAATATTATTATTTATTTTTTCTGTTGTTTTTTTTTTTTTAATTTTGTTTGATATGTTGACAAGTTAATGTAATTATATTACTGTCGTTGACAGTAAAATAACTGTAAACACAATAATATTATTGTCAACCACATCAATATTATTAGTTTTTTGGGCTTTTTGTTTTGTTTAAGTTATTCACGGAGTAACGTAATAATATTATTGTTTATTATTGTAATATTACTGTAAACACAATAATATTACTGTGGTTGACGGTAATATTACTATTGTTATAGTAATATTGTTGTCAACCACAACAATATTATTATTTTGTTTGAATTTTTTCGTTTGTTTGAGTTATTCACGGAGTAACGTAATAATATTACTGTCTATTATTGTAATATTATTGTGGTTGACGGTAATATTATTTTGGCTTTTTATTATGTTTACATTTGTTGACCGGTCAACATAGTAATATTACTCTATTACACAATAATAATGAGTTTTGTTGTGTTAATGTTACTGTGCTACAGATTAATATAGCAATATTATTGTGTTAAACTGTAGTTTAGTTAATTTTACTGTGTTTAACAGTAATATAGTTAATATTACTGTCAATCACAGCAATATTATTGTTTAAACCTGTGTTCTAAAAATCGGCCGAGGCGGCCGATTAATCGGTCTCCGAGGCGGAGGCGGTCAAAAACCTTTACGATTTTAGAAAAATTGCCTTCTTATTTATATTTTATAAGGATATTTATGTATTATTATCTAATTATTATTAAACTTTTATTATTTTATCAGGATGTATTGGAGATATAACTATGTTTAAATATCTTTTTATATATGTTTTGAGTATTTATAAATAATATCTAGAAATATGTTATATTAAATTTTAAAAATCGATTTATTTTCGATTTATCACCCATTAATCACCGCCACACCGATTAATCGTGAGTCAGTCCATGACCGCCTCCGAACCGCTTTTTACAACCTTAGTTAAAAGTTTAAACGGGAAAAAAAATCGAAAAAGTCAACGCCTGAGACCAGAGTTGACCGCCGGTCAACACCTGAAACCGGCAATAAAATCCGAAAGAAAAAAAAATTGAAAAGTCAACGCAGGAATCCGGCGGTAAAAAAAAGAAATTTGAAAAAACAAAATGTGGGTCAAAATTGAATAAAATGTGAAATTTGGAGTCAAATTGACGTTAAATTAAATTAAGGATGAAATTGAAGCATATTAAAGTACGAGGGGCTATTTTTGTCTTTTACAAAAATTTGGACCATGTGTGGACTTATTAGTAATTGAGTTTTTTGTTTGAATCTCTTTATGAATAAGTACCCATTGATGGGTTTATTTGTAATGACCCGAAAAAAATATGCAGAAGCGTCAATAAAAAAAATTATAATTTTCTTATTACATGTGCAAAAAGTTCTAAAACATCAAATAAAATAAATAAATAACGAGCTGCAAAAGCGTTTTGTGTAATCTTTACCTTATTCCATATATGATGTATATGCTTATCAGTTCATAAAAATGATGATATGTAAAAGAATATATTATACATATAACTGTGTGACTAATGTATTAATCATTAACGGCGACTCTGTGTGAAGTCATCAAAGTTGTATACTGCTCGAGGAGAGTGCGAGTGAAACATAATGAAAGAAGGTGAGGCTGACTCACTCCCTCGGTTTTTTGCTCATTGTTTTCCGCTTATTAACATCCATGTATTTCTTCCTCAATCGAATAGCATTTGGAGTAACCTGCATAATCCAATACAAGATGCCCCAAAATTGATTAATATGCCAAGAGATGGGTGAAACTGAAAAACGAAACTGCGTATATAGATTATTATGAATTGGCTGGACTAGTTAAAAATTGGATTATGCAACATCAGGTGATCTTTTTTATTTTTCACTAAATAGCACTAAAAAATTTGTTTCGTAAAACTGGTTATCGGAAAGAAACATGCTTGATCATCAACAATAGAGAACATTGTGCATACCTCAATCAGCTCATCAGGTGCAACATACCCTATTGCTTCCTCAAGATTTATCTGCAGGAAAACTTAATAATATGAAACAGTAAACCAAGATATTTGCACATTCTCAAAGATTTCAATTCATAATAGCAGCAGCTATTTCAAATCATTTGCACTTAGGTGAATTCGTTCAAGTCCGTGAAGAAGCTATTAGCTATATTGTTTAAAAACCATCCACACATATCAAGAGTAGAAGATAAGAGACTACAAAAGAAAGTGAAGGTATCATACGTATTCCGTGTTGGATTCATTTTGGACGGGTTAATCAAAGAGGCTAGAGTTTTATTCCTAGAAAGATACTCCAGCTTCCAATCTTGGAATTTTAATGCCTAAGGCAAAATAGAAGAGAGGAGTTACCTCTTTCTAATTTTACCTTGCTGATTTACTTTTTACCAATGTCAGAACCGGACCGGACACAAAACCGGCGAGGCATTTGGGTCACGGTTAGACCGGTTCAACCGGGTTTAACCCGGGTTTTTATGTTTTAATTTTTTAATTACTTTACTTTTATTAATATTAATATGTTAAATTTATATTTTCTACATATTTTATTCATTTTATCTTTCCCACCCTCCCTTCCTCTTTAATATTATATTACGTATTCCCTATCCTTGCCATCATCTTCACCACCAGTCCACCCTTTCTCTCTCCACAATTCACTTCCACCCGTCACCCTCTTTTACCCAGCATATCTGCCCCCCCTCTCTCCCTTTTCTATTAATGTCATTTTTTTCTTTCTTCTTATTTTTCCTTTCTCCATATCCAGAAACACACACAACTTTTTCCGGCAAACCAAGACAAAATCCGTCGAAATTCGCAAATCCACGGTCAGATCTGCCAATTTTCGGCCGACCTTGGCCTATTCTACAAAGATCCGGCCACACCCAACAAATTCCGACCGTGTCCCGCCACCAACAGCCACCGGACGTAGTTTATTAGATGAAAACCCAGGTCATTGACCAGTTTCCGGGTTCACCGGTTTTGGCCGGTCGAACCGGGTTTTCTATGTTTGGCTCGGATTTCTAATTTTCCCGGTTTTGAGGGTCAGATCGGACCGTTTTCATCACGGGTCCCGGTCGGACCGGTCCGACCGGCCGGTCCGGTCCGGTTCTGAAAACATTGCTTTTTACCTTATTTGTCTTCTATCATACAAGTGGGAAGCAAGGGATTGTGTAGTTATTTTTTAGAAGTCACACTATTGTGCGATTTTTGTAACATTAATCTAGTTTTTGGTTACATTCTGTCATCATATGAGTTTAACTTACGCAAATTGAATAGCTTTGTAATTAAATTTCCTGCCATGCAAACCAAGTAACCAACCTCTCCCATAAAGTCAACAAGGCAAGAGCGGAAAAATACATAAAGAAATGGATTTTGGAGTACATACAAGGCGAGGAGGAGTTAGCTTCACATTTTCATCCTTGGAGGCAGCACGGATATTGTTCAGCTCTTTAGTTCGCACTGGATTAACCTGTTTAGAAGCAACAATAGAGGTTATCCAAAAAAAAAAAAAAACATTATCATAGCAACAAAAAGTTTTCAAATCATTATAGTGAAATATATTTTCTTACGTCGAGATCTGAATCTCGAGAATGTTCACCAATAATCATGCCATCATATGCCTGCAAGTTATTAAAATAATTAAATGTCAAGTTTCATAGGTATGCATTTTTGTCCAATGCCTTGAGAACTAGAGAATGTAATGACAACAACCTCCATTCCAGGTTTGACAAAAAGCATTCCACGAGCTTCTAAACTCATCAATGCGTGAGCAGTGATAGTCCCAAATCCCATCGAAACCTGTTTGACCAAATTCATTCAATTAAGTTTGGAATATAAACCTAGTAAATGCAATATGGAAAATAGATTTAATGTTGACGGATCAAGGACCGAAATGAAAAAGTGACAAAGGAAAAATAAATATTGGGATAAACGGACTATCATTAGTAATGTTCCATTCCGAAACATGTTTCAACTATCTTGAAAATAGTGAGTGTGATTGTCCCGGGGTTTTAGAAACCATGCCTATTTTCATCATTTAGTAGCACATTGTGGTATGTACACATGAAAAACTGGAATAGAGCGCCTATTAATACAAAAAAAGAAAAAGAATATATGAAGCTGTTTTCCATACACCAGCACAAAGCCCACGTTATAATTTTAGATAAAAAAAATGTAAATCAAACGTAATGATAAATTTTATCACCAAAAATATAATAACAACAATAAAATAATCAATGAATGTGACATGTATTACCAGTACTCCTTTCCTGACATTTCCAAGAGGACCTCGATATTTCTCGTAAGCTGCATAAATAACAAAAACATCAAAATGAAAAATTGTAAACAGAAAATACGACAATTTACACAAGGCAAACAAAGAAAGAAGACAAACAATATTAAGATCAAAATCAATAATGTTTGTCTGTATTATTATGTTCACTTTAGACAAAAGAATGGTCATCACTAGAAACATTAAAATGAAATACTGTTCAGTTAAAGAGAAAGCAGAAGACGTTGAAAACAAATGCAATAAAGCGCGAAAGGCATACATAGGAAGGCACGATGCATAAATCCAGTGCCTCGTGTAACGCTGTTGAACACACTTCTGTAACCAACCAAACCCCTGTAATCACACAGAAACTCTCAACACATTAAATACATCACTAACTGAAAAGTGCACCAAGGACAAAATATACACAAGAAAAATAGCATCTGCAGATACACAATGCAAATTAGAAGTTAAATTAGGGGATAGCACGAATAAAGGAAGATGTAAATTTGACGAATAACAAGAGATGGGAATTAATAAAAATTGATGAGAAGATAGAAGAAGAAACTAGTACTGACCTAGAAGGACAAGTCAGACAAAGTCGAGTTCTACCAACATGGCCAGGGACTGGACCCATGTCAGTAATCTCTCCTCGCCTGTGAGACAGAGCTTCCATAACTAAACCCACATGCTCTTCGTTTACCTGACATCAATCAGTAAGGTAAAAAAGTCATTTATTGAAATTATGAAAGGTTGGTTGGAGTAACACTGTAAATTTGCTTAGGCGCTATCACTATCACCTCAACAGTCACTTCTTCAATTGGCTCCAGCTTTTGGCCTTTCTCGGTTTTATACCTGTAAAGTAATTACTCAAAGCTTTAAAAAGCCAATCTTACGATGTTTTCACCTGACCACAGCTGCAACATTATTCTACATTTGAGAGCATCAAATGACGCATTTTTTAGCATCTTGAAATTCTTTAAACTTTATTAATTACTACTTAATATTAAATTAGTTTAAACTTTTTATATTTCAAATTCAATAATTCATTTCAATATTGTTAAAATATATTTAAGACTTTATATTAGGTTAGGAATCTGTCTTTATAATAATTCGTGCCTATCCCAGTTATGAGATATTTTCCTACTTTTAGGAAGAATACTTTCCTTATTACGACTCTTTTCACATCTTCGTATAAGAGAGTGGGGTTCTTTCAATGATATAATTATGTCTAGCTTTTACATTCTAATAAATATAATTTTTTTAAACTAGTTTAGAGTAATAACGGCAGAAGTCTTTTTGCTACGTTTGGCAGTAAAGGGGGTAATGTGACAAGAGATATAATACAACGGTGCAAAGCGAACTTTACCCTTCTTTCAATAAGGACCACCATCTTTTTTGGTAAGTTTAATACCATTAAACATTGAGATTTATTAACCTAGCCAGTTTAAAATTACTACGGCAAATATATTTGTGCAACCACAAGCATGTCAGTTCAATTCCTAAGCATCAATCTTATCATTTCATACATATAACGAGCAGTCCTTTCCTTCTCTTTGACTTTTCCAACTACATGAATCTATTCCTTAACACTTTATTATGGGTCTTATATTTGCTATTTTATTTCATTTGCATACATTTCACGTAACAAAAAAATGGGGTGGAAGCAAATGAAAGAGGAAATAGCACAAGACAACAGCTCAAGAGAAAAGAACTCACATGACTCTAGGAGGTGATACAGAAAGCTCAAATTTTTCACGCCTCATGTTCTCAATTAAGATCCCTGTTTTAACAATGGACTCAGGTTAAAGAAGGGCTAGAAATATATTGAAGTTAATGCTCAGAGAACATAAAATCTAAAAATGAACAGACGAGGAGTCGATTTCAACCACAACACTGAAAGGTAGCTGAAAACAAAATACAATTAGTAATGTATCCAACAAATAGTACTCACCCAATTGAAGCTCTCCCCGCCCTAGAACTTCATAAGATTCTGACATGCTAGGAAGCACATTTATTGCAAGATTTCTTTCAGCTTCAGCCATAAGACGATCACCAATTTGCCTTCCAGTCAACTGTTTACATATAACAGAAAATTTTCATCATTCAGCATATCCCATGTTCAATGAACCCCTGGAATAAGAGGAGAATACAAGCAATATTCTCTCCAGTGCATTAGAATTTAGTTTCAAATAGGTGGATGAAATTAACCGTGTTCAAAATTTTGATTAAAAGAGGTTGTCTGGATCAAGATGAAAGAAATGAAAAAGGCTCAGGGAAGATATGGGAGATACAAAATATAAAGATCAATGTGTACATTGCATGGATAAGAAGCTATTTTGTGATGGCAGAAATTTGAAACCAACAAAAAAAAGCTGTCAGACAGAAGAGCAGTGACAGTTTTCCGCTGCCACACAGACAGCAGCATTTGCTCTCTCAAAATTCATGCATGTCAGAAGCGACACCAGTTAAAAACATACTGAAACTGGTGAGGATATATAACAAAAAAGAACAGAGGGAAAACGAAGATCTTACATAAATACCATCTCGACCAGCCAATGGTGAGTCATTCACGCCGAAAGTCATTGAAATGGTTGGTGGATCGAGTACAACAGTTGGCAGAGCAGTCATGACCTTCCAGAAACCAATATACACTTATTATCAGTTTAACATAAATGTTGAGGATTTGCATCATAGATGTGAGTACTTCATTAGGGAGTGAGTGAGCTTTATATATATATATATATATATATATATATATATATATATATATATATATATATATATATATAAAGCACAAACCAAAAACCGAAGGTCATGCTTATCATTATCATAACAAAATAGTATTTATTTGTTACTCGAATAAGGAGCAGGTTATAGACATGTTCAGTTTTATCATAAGAAAATAAATGAAGATTAGGGAACGTAGAAGTATTAAAAATGAATATAACAACATATATTCTGAGTCAGGCAATAGCTCTTTGATTGTTCATGTACTGTATTTGTGTCCTCAAATTATCAATATCTTTGGGCGTACTATTGCACACATTCTTTATCTCATTCTAAGTATATTGAACTTTAAAAGTTGTTAGTTGTCTTTTGTCATAGCAGTTGCCTATTCTTGGCACATGCAAATGATAATTGAATAAACCATGTTTAATACTTGTTTTAAGTCTCTGAATTCTTTATGTTTCTCGATTATACGATATTTCTCCCAATATTTATATATTTACATATGAGGAAGTTGTCCAATGCTTGGCCTGAAAATGCCAGGACACAGACCACTTTTATCTCACAAGAGGCAGCTACTTAATTCTCAAGATGCTTAGTACTTAAACTGTCTATTGGAAAGATAATACAAGTATCACAATACTACCACTTTGCTTATAAAATAAATGCAGAATCAATGTGATTTAGACTAAATGGCAACAGTACAAGAGCTTATGTACCTCAACACTTGCTATTGTATGTCCTATTGCAGGACTGTTTAACCCAGCCATAGATACTATATCACCAGCACCAGCAGTATCAACTGAAATTATAGTTGTGCCCTTCTTTTTCATCAGTTTGACAACCTACAAACATGTATAAAAATATTTATAGTCAATAACAGTGGAAATGAATTATTAAGTGATCGTTACTCACAGTCATTATGATGTCAAAAAGGAAAAGCACATCACCTTTTTTTTTCAGCACAGCATTCAGTAAGTACATACCAATAATTACAAGCAAATTAAACTAATTTGTTCTCCCAAAGTTTATTTGATCAATTTGAATCCTTTTAGTGTGAATATTGTGCTACTATAGGTTGTTAAGGTTCATATTTAACTGTTAGTTTCAGCATCCATCTCAAGCAGATACACATATTTGTTCCAATATCCTCCTGTCTAAAACTCATGTCTGAGCAATAATGCTGGGAGTGCTACTAGAGATTATTTATGTTGGTAGTTCAAATAGATGATTTTGCAGTGATAGAAAACCAGTAGTTCTAAGCACATCATAGTCACATCGACAGAAAACTTTTCTCTCACAAGAAGCAGCTACAAAATCTCATGCAGTACAATCTTTAAGCCAGATTACAGACATTATCAAATCAGTATTCTGGCAATCAATTCCGTAAATGTTTAGAGGAGCTGTGTAAGAGCAACATCTATGCTTAGCTCAAGGTAGAGTGCGGAGAAAGGCACATAATAAAGTTCACAGACAATTCCCCCAGGTAAAGGCCATAAAGCAAAAAGTTACTTCTATATCTATGAAGAAAGAAATAAGGCAAGTTAAATGTCGTCTAATATGTTACTAACAACATTGACAAACAAATACTAAAAGAAAAATGTATGTCTACCAAGGAGTTCATAAATATTCAGATAGCACAATAGGATAAGAAATCATGCCCGGTACAAAATCAAGGCAACAAACCTTCCCCTCTTCAATTTTGACAACACCAGTATCTGTACTGTTAAGTCCATGCACTTTATCACCAACTTGCAAAATTCCAGAATAGATACGACCGGTTAGAATTCGGCCAACATAATTATCTCTTTCCATCATGGACACCTGAAAGGAGCTGTCAACTAATTTTCTCAAGGTTCCTCGATAAAGGTAAAACAGCAACGTAGAAACTTATTTGCATACTCTAACACACAGAATATATAATATATAACAGTAAACTAAGACACTGAATTGTTATATAATTGTTTTGTAGCGACTTCATGCAAAACAGAAACTAGCTCATAATCTGTTTTGGAGTATTTGCAAATGCAGTTTTTGCTTTTGCTTCTTTTAAAATAAGTTGCTTCAAGCCATAATCTGAAAAGCATGGAGAAATGACAGGTTGGTGTCTATTCCTACTACCATAATCCAAAACGCGTTTGGCATTAACATTGCAGCAAACACATATTTACTCCCCTAAGATATTTATCAATCATTATATATTTAAATGATATGATAATTTACTGACGGATTACACTTTGAAATTATTTTGAATATGATAATATACTGAAACAATTGTAGGTCTATAAGTAACAATCTGTAGAGATAGTTGGTTGTGGTTGGTCCAAGGTAGTCAAAAATCGGGTTGTAAGTTGAATCCGAGAGGGGTAGTAAAATCGTAAGATTATACGTATATAGTAAAATTAATAGCAAACATCTCCTAACACAAACAAACAAGTCATAACATACATAAAATATGTCCTAGTAGAAATAAATTATCCCGACGTTAACAAAACATGTTTTAGCAAATTAGGGCTTATCTGGGTAATGGGATTTCTAAATTTTAGTTAAAAACTAAGAGATTCAGGTCCAAACTTGAAATTTCAGCCCAAATTTCGACAAAAATTAAAATCATAAAAATCACGAAAAATCGCGACTTTGACCTGTTTTAACGATTTTACTCCAGATTTCAAGCGATTTTAAAGGAGTTGCGGTTTTACAATTTGTAAGGGTGTAAAGTCGTAAAAAATCTTATACTATTACGATTTAAATCCCGATTTAACTAGCTTGGGTGGGTCCCTATAGCATAATTTGAATTGAATGATAGGAATATTGTTTGACAAGCAATATATGAGGTTCTGTGTGTGGGGTTAAAAATTGGAATTATAAGTTTAGGATATTATTTTTTGTATAAAAATGAGAAGATGGAATGGGTATTTCTATTAAAAATTGATCAAACTAACATGAATCTAATTCATGCATGCTCATGTAACAGTAAAAGATGTGTAGTCAACAGTAAATGTTTCAGCACTAACCAGCATCTGAAAAGGTGCATCCAGGCTGGCAGTTGGCGGATGAACGTGTCTTACGATTGCATCAAGCAACTCTGACATATTCTTTGCATCGTCAGGAGGATTTTTTGTATACGTGGATGAGGCCCATCCTTCCTTTGCAGAAGCATAGAGAACAGGAAATTCTAATTGTTCCTCTGAGGAAAAGGTATCATTAATCAAATGAGACTGAAAACCATATATATGTGGAAAAATAGGGTTGGGACTTCATCGTTTTATTAAATCAAAGAAGTTGAATATAAGGTTAGTAAGATAGAAGCACCTGTGGCACCAAGATTGGCAAAAAGATCAAACACCAAGCTCTCGACTTCATTGCACCTTTCTTCGGTAACTGCACATGCAATTCCCAATAAACGATTTAACATTATCTATGCTTCCAAATTATATACGAGACAAACAAGAACAAGTTCTTAAAAAGTCAAAAAAATTCAAGACATATTTAGATCACATGTACAAATACATGTATACCCTGTAAGGCCTTGTTTGATTACATGGATCAGATAATTTAGATTAAACTGGATTCTATTAATTCTCTACTGACTAACTAATTAATTAGTACGTAGGATTTGTTATTCCTTGTATTACATCTATTACTCTAAAACTGTTCAAATCTGGTATTAAGTGTGATCTTTTAATCTAGTTCAACAATAATCATATCATAATTTGTATCATTTCAGGGGTAAAAATGTCTTGTTTTTCCTTTTTACTAGCTACCTACAAAGCTAATATTATTAAACAGTAGCATTTAATTGGAAGCTTCAACTTTAATAGCAGGCTTGATTAGTTTTAATCTTGCCAGCAGAACATGTTACTAACTCCTACTACTTAGTCAATAGGACTTGATAGTTGCAACTGAACGAAGCCTAAGAATATCAGACAAATTATACCTGTCAAAATTGCTAAAAGATAATTTTATAGGAATTCACTGTCCAAGTGCATCCAATTATTTTCGACTCACTCCCTCTATGACAAGTACATAACCCACGACTGAACAGTGATTTAGGCGATGTTAGTTTCTTCTAGGACACCAAACCATCTAACAATTTTTTGGTGCAAAACAAATCCGAACACAGTTAACTTCATCTGCATTTTTTATTCAAAGAAAAGCATAAACGTAAATGAACCTATATCAAAAACAGCAACCATGCATAGACAAATACAAATATCTTGCAGACATCATAATAAATTGAAATGATGCAGCAAAAACATTTTTTTCTAATACAAGAGTGGTCAACTCAACCATTTCTAACTTCTCTGCCTTTGAAAGTCAAACGAAGTAACTTCTCCACTTAACCTATGCCAGGGAGTTTTTTTGGACTTCAGAATAAGTATGAAGTAACCTACCCAAGAGTTTTTTTGAATAGGTTCTCAAGCATTTAGTATCTTAAAAGTCCTTGTACTGATCAAATTCACTCCTGCTTTTTCCGTTTCATGCAAAAATGAAGTTCATCCTCAGTTGAAATGAAAGATTCTTGTTTGTTCTTCTTCACGCACTCACAATAAAAGCAATTGTAGGATTCTGGAGTGCAATCATAATGCAATTCAGGTCAAAATATCTATGTGTTCGCCATTGGTACCGTTTAGTAATTCGAATACATCTTAGAATAGTGGCTTAGAAGAAAGAGGTATACATATTAATCATTACATGAAGCAAATCAACCTGATGTTTTTTAAGTACTTGAGATTCTGCTTACTTTGACAAGAAAATACTGACAAGATTACAGGCTAGACAAGTAAATTTGTTCGCTTATTTATAACACACTAAATGTTTTTTCAGAAAATCAGCTAAATCATTTTAATTTGTACCTGAAGGGCGGTCTACTTTATTTAGAAGAAGTAGAGGGCGTAGACCATATTTTAAGGCCTTAGCAAGAACAAATTTTGTCTGTGCCAAGGGACCTTCACCAGCATCAACAACTAAAACTGCTCCCTCAACCATGCCCACAACTCGTTCAACCTACAAAAATAAAAGGGGAAATTCGACTCAAATGTATTGAATTCAGGACCTAAAAAGCTGCAGCTGCGATGTTAAAGCAGTCTTAGGTATTAGATCCAAGAAATGACAACTTCAAACGTTTAAACCTACGATGGAAACCTTCATTTCTATGAAGCTGATATACTATTATTCCACAAATAACAAATTGTTTAACACACAGGATTACTCGAACAAAGATTTATAATAAAAGCTCAAAAATGCCACTTTGCTTCATATTCACATGCTTCATATTCACACAGGTTCATATTCCTTAGTTTCTAAACCATTGAATTCCGACCTAAGAACTGTAAAAGAAAAACAAATTACAACATATGTTACTGCATAAACTCTCAAGCATTACCAGAAAGTAAAGACCCTGAGATAATTAGAACATGGCATACCTCACCACCAAAATCAGCATGTCCAGGAGTGTCGACCATGTTTAGCTCATGCTCTTTCCATGATATACCTGTAACCTGCAAGTTACATGAAATTAACAAATGAGATGCTCGAAAAGAACACAGCAACAACCATGGTTATTATTATTAGAGGATTAAGTGCCAGAAATAATTCCAAAATTTAATTGAGATAGTTTATCATAAACAAGAAAATGATATGTTCACTGCAAAAGTAATGTTGCCTTTGGAGAAGACAAGTAGTTCAGATTAGACATTCCAAAATCTGCTCTTTGGGGGAGCTATTTGCGAGAGATTGTAACAGTTAGTCGAAAAGTAATCGAATACATTTCAACTGGCATCATTATTTAAGAACATTATAGAGCAACTCATAAATCAAATAGCGGATTATAGGACCCCACACACTAACTCAGTTGTCAAACTATCACCAATCTACTGCCACCCAAATAGTAGCAGCCGTACCAATGGAGATCTCAATTCAATACTTAGACACAAAGGAAATAAAAGCCTTATTCGACACAACTGATCTCTTTTTACCAAAATTAAGGGATTATATATTAAAGGAAGGAAGGTAGAAAATACAAAAAACACAAGACACTAGTTCTGGAGATCCAAAGCAACGAAAGTTAATGATATTATTAAATTGAAAAAAAATGGTAATGAGCGAACGAACACCTTAGAGGAGATAGTGATGCCTCGCTCGCGCTCGAGGCTGATAGAATCTAGGGCTCGCTCGTGTGGAATATCGGCGCCGCACTGGCGCAGGAGCCGATCCATGAGAGTTGTTTTCCCATGGTCAACATGAGCTATTACAGCCACATTCCGAAGCCGATTGGGATCAACAACGCCGCCTGGACTGTCAAATAAAACGGACGGAGATGCGGCAGCTGCGGTGGTCGAGGTGGAGAAGGCTGCTGCAGTTCGTGGAAGTGCAAAGGGCTTCAGATACTTGGAGGAAGAAGAATAAATGGATTTCCTTGCGGCGGTGGACCAGAGAGAGTAAAGTAGTGAACCCACCATTTCCAGGAGAAAGAAGGAACACTGGTGGTGGTGCTGTTAATTCTCTATTATAGGGTTTATGTTCCCTCTCCTTTAATTTGCTTCGATTGGTATGCAATTCAGGGTTTAAGGATGTTTTTCTTTTCTCTCTTTTCTGTTCGTCCTTTTCTTTTCTTTTCAACTACAAAATTAAATAACTTGGAATATTGCTTATTTAATATTAACTTATAAAAGAGGTGTATTATTTTATTTTATTTTTATTTTATTTTATTTTAAGTAGAACATTGCATTATTTTATTTGGAACATTGCAATCAGTTTTCTAAATATCGGTCGTGGCGATCGTAAATCTCTACGATATTGGTGATGCGGTTTGAAAAATCAGTTTTTCAACGGTGGGACGGTTTATGGCGGATCAATCCGATATATCGGATCAATAAATCGAAAAAAAAAATCTATTCTTTTTTAAAGAAATATAGGGTAGGAGTTTTCTTTTTTTAGTTTTTTTCAAATTTCAACTCGATTTCTTTTAACATAAATCAAACCAAACGAAGTCACCACCCTATAAGAAAGAAGAACATGACCAAAACTTACTAACCTAAAAGTCTAAAACAATCTACACTCCTGGCTGCTACACACTGAGACGGTGCTCCTCGGCGGCAGCAGATAATATCATGTTTAAATATTGTTTAATATATATTTTAAGTATTTACAATAATATTTAGAAATATAAAAATTAATATTATCCGGTTATATAGTAATATTATTATTATTTGGTAGACAATACTATTGTTGTTTTAACTGATCTCTTACATCAATCAAAGCTTCAATTTTTTTTTTTTTTCTAAATTCAAAGGAGTCCATTGAGTACGTCATGATTATGTCATAATAGATCCAAAACACTTGCCCCGTCGACTTCCAGATCATAATTTCTCTTGTAAAGAACTAAAGAAAATAGAGAAACGGGAGATAGAAACATAGAAGAGAAAGAAACTAAATTTAGAAATATCTTTTGAAGGTTTACTAATTATTTTTATTTGACTGTTCGTGAGTCACAATCTATATGTGGTCCAGAAAGAGGACTCAATGATAATTTGTTAGCCGGAACCAGAAGTAAAAATTTTGGTGGCTATGGACCCCGTAAAAACTAATAGTAGAAAAAACGTAAAAAAATTATTTCAAAAAAAGTAAATCCAAAACATTCAAAACCGGAGACCGACAATGACCGCCGATCAGTGACGGATTTTATTTTGAAAAAAATAGTTCGAAAAGAATGTCAACAGCCGGAGACCGGCGTTGATCGCCAGTCAGAGTTTGTCAAAAGTTGATGAAATTGAAGTTGAATTGGTGTTGAAATGATTGGGTAGTTATTTTGTCATAGATACTAGTAGACCTGACCACGGTTCGGTTCGGTTCCGGTTCCGGTTCCAAACCGCCGGTTCCGGTTCCGATTTTGGAGGAACCGGAACCGAACGGTTCCGGTTCCGATTTTGGAGGAACCGGAACCGAACCGAAAAAATTCGGTTCCTTGCGGTTCGGTTCCTAACCGGTTCCGGTTCGGTTCCGGGTTAGAACCGGTAGAACCGCCGGTTCTTAATAATAATTTTTTTTTATTTTATATATATATATATATATATATATATATATATATATATATATATATATATATATATATATATATATATATATATATATACATACAGAGATAGATATATATATATCTGTATATATATTTATATATATATATATATATATAGAGAGAGAGAGAGAGAGAGAGAGAGAGAGAGAGAGAGAGAGAGAGAGAGAGAAAGAGGAAATTAATTTTTTTTTTTTTTTTTTAAACCGGTTCTAACCGTCGGTTCCCGGTTCCAAAAATGAGGAACCGGAACCGAACCGGTTTTTTCGGTTCCGGTTCCGGTTCCGGTTCGGTTCTAAAACCGTTGACCCCGGTTCGGTTCCGGTTCCGGTTCCGGTTCCGGTTCTAACCGAACCGGTGGTCAGGTCTAAATACTAGGGTTGTCTTTGTTTGCAATACATGTTGAGGGGGTGAGCCTATTTGTAAAAGAGGAAAAAAAAAATACTTGAACCTAGATTAAATAATAAAGATACGTGGTCACGGACTTTCTCATTAAAAAATCCTTTTTACTTTTTGTTTTTATCGGTTAACACAGTAATATTACGGTCAATACAACAACATTGCGTGTTAATCCGTCAAGTCGGCAAACATTAACTCAAAAAATTAAGATTTTTTTAATGTTAAAGAGTTGACCGATCAATATAGCAAAAATAAAATCAAATCAAAGTCCTCGAGCAACGGTCGGTCGAAATTTGTGAATTGGTGACATTGGGGTTAAGTTAAAAACTAATGATGGGGGGTAATTTTATCATAAAATATAAAGTTGTCTTTATTAACAATAAATGTGTAAGTGGTGGGTTTATATGCAAAACAATAGAACTGAATGTCCCATTTGGACTTGGGTAAATGTGCAATGGGATCCGCACTCTTTTTTTTTTTTTTTTTTTTTTTATGAGAAAAATAATATATAACTAAGAAGGAAATGAAGAGTCTACAGGAGGAAAACCAATGTCACAGAAGCAAGAAATATGAATACAATTACTATGAATAAAACCACTCCATTTGGACGAGAGAGACCATGAAGCTAAATTGTGAGCAGCAAAATTTGCGCTCCGGGGGCAATATTTGAATTTCCATTTCGGCCACAGATCCGCACTCTGAACAAGTGTAGTATAATCTAATTAATTACAACCATAAATACTACAAGTATCATTTAAACACATGTCGATATACGTATGTTGTAGTAGGGAAAAAAATGAATTGAATAGTAACATATATAATTGTATCAATCGACAACCAGAAAAATTATGTGACAATAATTAAAAAAAAAAAAAGAAAAGAAAAGGAAAACATACATACATGAAAAATATATATATGATATTATAATTAGAGGGCATATCAGAATCAATAATTTATGAGCTGGCTTCCCAGAGTGTGCTTTCCATGGACTTGGAATCCATAGGGTTGTATTGGCCTTTAGTTTGACAAACAAAAGGAAAAATAAAAGATTAGTAATCATCATGAACATATTAATTAAACCAAATAAAGGATAAATAAATTTGTAGCCGCATTCAATTTAGTTTCCCGAAATTGAAGCTCGATGCGAAGAAAAAGCAAACCGTTTGGGGCATATAATTTTGTATATATACCTGCAAGGAAGAATTGTTGATTGAAAGGATTAGGTAAACGGTTGTGCGGTATAATTAGAGCAGAGGCACTTCCACTTTCAGCACATAGTTTTTCAGTATATCCATAAGGGCAAAAACTCCCATTGCTCTGAAAGTTATTGGTATTAATATTGTTGATAACTTTGGTATTGGTCCAATTACCCATCAATTCTTGAGGTGGTAGTTGTTGAAATTGTTGAAATTGGGCTTTGAATAACCTCAGCTCCTCACAAACTCTTCTATAGTCTCCATATGGGCCGAGCACCGGATCCTTGTACCGGCATAGGGCTTCCCACACTAGCGAATCCACCGCTATTTTCCGATCTTCTTCTTTTAGATTTGTAATAATTTTGGTGATATTGCTCACTCCAAACACCTTGTGCACCGCTTGGAATTCGCGACTCTTTTCCACCGGAAAGAAGGGCGCCAACGTACACTTGTCGGTGCACTTCTTCCGTTGGTGCTTGCATGATGCGCATGCGGAGGTGCTATTCCCATTTCGTTGCATCTCTCTCTCTCTCTCTCTTTATCCAATTTAAATCAATGAGAGGGATAATTTTTTTTTTATTAGTGGGAATTGATCATGCAAAACAACTAATGGTTTAAAAAGGGAATAGAAAAGGTCAAAAAGAAAAACTAAGTTATAACTAGTTTTATAGGCTTTATTGTTTGAAATGAATGAAAAGATTGCCTAGCTACATACATAGATGAAACCTTAGCACAAAAGGTAAAATACTAATTATGATGAAATTGTTTAATATAGAGCACGAAAAGATGGTCACTAAAGCTAAACTTCTTTTTGATAAATACTATTAACACATTTGTAGGTAGCTCACATGATGAGTATGTTTGTATTCTATTCTTTATGATACATATAATCTGACAAGCATTTGCCATTAACAAGCACTTTTTTTACTCTACTGAGATATTTATGAATCATTATATATATATTATATATATACATTTAAATGATATAATAATTTACTCTTTGAAATTATATTGAATATGATAAATTATTGAAAACAATAAATAACAATTCAATCTGCTACGATAATAGTTTGAATATGATTATTTAATTTTGCTATACAATGATAAGCACTCACCAAGGAGAAATTCAAACCTTCATTTCTATAAAGCTGATATAATATTATTCCAAAAAAAAAAATTTATATTTAACACACAAGATTACTCGAAAAAATATTTATAATTAAAGCTCAGAAATGCCACTTGATCTCATCTTCTCTTTTCCTCCTCCTCTGATTCAATTAGTATGCAGTTCATGGTTTAAGGATGTGTTTTTTTTTTTTTTTTCCGTTTTCCTTTTTCTTTTCTTTTCTCTTCCTTTTTCAACTGCAAAATAAAATAATTTGTAAAATTGCGTGTAAGTTCCAAGAGAGGTGTAGGAAGACGTTGATTTGGTTTCACTCGAATTTTTAGATCTTATATGCGAAAATCGGTTATAATTTTTTGAAAGTGCACAGCAATCAGGTATAAATAATTTTTTTCTTGTGATAATTGGTTAGGTCCCTATTTTGAAATTTATATGGGATGAAGTCCAAATTGATAGATGAATATAGCTCTAGCTTCTTGACCAAGAAAAATTAATATAAATTATAAAAATTTACAAGTATGCAGACATAAACATCTCAAACAATAATGTGGTTGTAGGAAAATGAGAGAATAAATCTCTCACTTCCAGCGATAATCGTAGAGGACAAATCTTTTTTTTTTCCCAATTTCCTCGTTAGTGAAAAACCACCACATTTGTAGCCTTATCATCGTTTTTCGGCGGGGTTCATCAGGAGTCGTCGTTCATGTAGCAGCCGTTCTTGCATATTCTATTCTTTTTCGTACTTCGTTTTGCATTGGAAGAGTAGATATTTTTTCCATTGTGTTGTCGTCTTTTGTATTTGCGTGATGTGCTGTTATTGTTTGCATTTAGACGATGCAAATTATTTTTTTAGTTTGTTGTTTGCAATTAGATGATGCATATGTTATTTTCAGTTTGTTGTTTGTAAATAGATGATGCATACTCTATTTTAAGTTTGTTGTTTGCAATTAAACGATGTATGTCATATTTTTAGTTTGTTATTTGCAGTTAGGTGATGCATATTTTATTGTCAGTTTGTTGTTTGCATTTGACAGTCATATGCAGAGACGGCGCGACGGCCACAACTTCAAGTGTGGTAATTTTTTGAGATTTTGAGTTTTTGCAATAGGTGATTTTTCTAAGAATTGATTTTTCTTATGTTAAAATTGCGAGGAGAGATGTTCGGGATAATTTGATTTAAGAGAGAAATTTAGGAGATTTGATTTTAGGCGTTTGAAATGTTTGTGTCCGTGTATGTATTGTGTATGCGCGGGAGAGTACATTAGATGCTACACGGGGTTATGTGCACTGGGTAATTTCTACCATTGACAGAGTTAAATAATCACCTACTACGTATACATACATGGGTATCTGTGATTATGTACAGATCAACAATTAAAAATTATCCTATAATTTTATTCGGTGTAGCATCAAATAAGCATAAGCGTGTGAGTGCTTCTATGTTTTTCTTTTGACAAGTGTGTGTATTTTATTGATAAATATTACTAACAGACAATTATGTATATAATTAGTCATAAGGAAGGAAGAAGTTAATGGAAAGGTAATTACAACATTTTCAATGGACTAGTTAGTTAAGAATAAAAATATTGAACTAAAAGACTTTCATTGCTAATTATTATCAAAGTATAGGTACTTTTGGTTAATTTTCCTAAAATCTTATAAATCTTTTATAGATATACATAAGTTCATCAAAATACCTCAACGATATATTTTTGTGACTGTCTATTGGAATTCTAGAAACAATTCATAAAAGCAGCTCAAATTTAAGAGTCGAGGACAATGAATTATTTCAGATACTTAGATGAAAATGCGATTCTAAACTAGTTCAAATAAAATTGATAGAATATCCATAAATTGAATATTGAGGAGTGTCCAGAAAACAAATATCCTGAAAACGGGTTTTTGTGCATAAGCCTCCAATCAAGCCTCTTTATTATTCTAGGTTTAGGGGCTATATCTCTTTCACCAATAAACTCATTCCTTTTATATTTATTATAAATAAAGGAAACATTCATGTAAATCCCAATATTACCCCCAACCATTTATTCTCAATTCTTAATTATAACCACAATTTAATTAATTTTGTCCAAAAAAATCCAATTTTGACCACAAAAATTCAATTTTAACTCTTTTTTTTCAAAAACTTTTTTTTTCAATTTTTTTTTATCGCCAGATTCCGGCTTTGACTTTTCGATTTTTTTTTCTTTCTTATGGATTTTTTCACCGGGTTCCGGCGTTGACTTTTTTTTTCCCCTCTTCTTCCAGAATTTTTCGCCGGTTTCCGGCGTTGACTTTTTTTTAGTGTTTTTTTGGAGTTTTTTTTTTGTTTGGTTTGTTTTTTTTTTTTTCACGTCCGCCGCTAAACGTTGACCGTAATTGTGTTGTCACTGACAGTAAATTAACGTAATTATACTGTAATGACAGTTAATTAACGTAATTCTACTGCTGTTGACAATACATTTATGTAATTGTGCTGCCGTTGACAGTAAATTAATGTAATATTATTATTTTTTATTTTTTGTTGTTTTTTTATTTTATTTTGTTTGATTTGTTGACAAGTCAACGTAATTATATTACTGTTGTTGACGGTAAAATAACTGTAAACACAATAATATTACCGTCAACAACATCAATATTATTATTTTTTTGGGTTTTTTGTTTTATTTGAGTAATAATGGAGTAACGTAATAATATTACTGTCTATTATTGTAATATTATTGTAAATACAATAATATTACTGTGGTTGACGGTAATATTACTGTTGTTATAGTAATATTGCTGTCAACCACATCAATATTATTATTTTGTTTGGATTTTTTGTTTGTTTGAGTTATTCATGGAGTAACGTAATAATATTATTGTCTATATTTGTAATATTACTTTGGTTGACAGTAATATTACTGTTGTTATAGTAATATTACTGTCAGTCACAGTAATATTAATTCTTTTAGTTTTTTATTATGTTTACATTTGTTAACGGTCTACATAGTAATATTACTTTATTACACAATAATAATGAGTTTTGTTGTGTTAATATTACTGTGCTAGAGATTAACATAGCAATATTAATGTGTTAAACTGTAGTTTAGTTAATTTTACTGTGTTTAACAGTAATATAGTTAAATTTAACTATCAATCACAGCAAAATTGGTGTTTAAACGAAAAAAAAAGTTACTGAAAGAAAGAAAGAAAAGAAGAAGAAGAAAAAAAAAATGAAAAGTCAATGCCGGAGACCGGCGTTGACCACCGGAATCCGGCGGGAAAAAAAAGGTTTTTGAACAAAAAAAAATTTGGGTCAAAATTGAATAATTTGCGAAATTTAGGGTCAAATTGAGGTTAAATAAAGTTAATGATGAAATTGGAGAATATTAAAGTATGAGGGGTTATTTTAGACCTTTACAAAAATCTGGACCATGCGTGGACTTATTGGTAAATGAATTTTTTATCTGGATCTCTTTTTGAATAAGTACCCATTGATGGGCTTATTTGTAACGACCACAATTGAAAACTTTGTTTTTTTCAGAAAAACAAAAAAATTAAAAAAAGAGAAGCAATTGTTTACGTCTGTGACGGTTCCTAAATCCGCGTGATTGTTTATTTTTCTATTTACCTTTTTCTTTTTCCTGATGGGATGACGTAGCAAGTACTCGTGAGAAGCTTCCGATAATCTGGACTGAATTTTAATGAGAAATCAGTTACCAACTTGTTACGAAATTAGCGTAACAATTGACTACATTATACGAACGACTTATAGAATACAGACCAGAATTTTTTGCACCTAGTTCAATTCCTAAGAAATTACGCCAAGAAATAAAATATATGTACTTGGAACAAGTCCAACTAAGCGAAAAGGAAAGTGAGTGAAATGAAATCATGTAGTACCAAAAAGTCAAATCTGCAGTCAACACCTTGAAATATGTCGTTTGATTAAACCCATTTAGTCCAACAAAACGCAATTCATTCACACAAATCCGGATGCGTAAAATAAAACCATCACCATAAGAAACATATATATATATATATATATATATATATATATATATATATATATATATATATATATATATATATATATATATATACTTATGTATAATAGATCTGTGAATTCATAAATCCATAGCCCTAAATCCAGGATGGGAATCGACGACAACGATGAAACCTCATTTTTCAATCGGAAAAGCAATTACGATATGAACAGTAAGATCATGTTGACAGCAATTATTTCGTTATCGTTCGTTGTGATTCTGGTCACAATTCTCCACATCTACGCGAGGTTCCTGCTCCGCCGTCAATCCCGCCGGCAGGCTGAACTCCGCCGCCTCGGTTTCATCACAGCCTCGGCCAACATCCAATCGGCGTCCGAGCCACCAAAAACTGGCTTGGACCCAGCCGTGATGGCCGCCTTGCCCCATTTTATTTACAGAAAAACAAGTAGTAGCAATGACGATGACGATGACGATGACGATGACGAGACTAGCTTGACGGAATGTTCGGTTTGTTTAAGCATATTGGAGGACGGTGAAATTGCTCGAACTTTGCCTAACTGCAAGCACACTTTCCACGCAGAATGTATTGATAAATGGTTTGTCACAAACTCAACATGTCCTATTTGTCGTATGGACGCTGAGCCCAGGCTTGTGCCGGAGCCCCGAGAGGGAGTTGTTGTGGTGGTGGTGGCGGCTGGTGGTGGAGCGCCGCCGTCTGCTCCGCCGCTGGAAGGTACATCAGATAAAAATAGTAGTGGGTCGAGGTTAAGTTCATTCAGAAGGATTCTGAGTAGAGAAAGGTCATCATCATCTAGGAGGATGCAAACTAGTAGTGTACCAGATCTTGAGAGGCAGTGACTCTATGGTAAATTGGTAATTACTTTGCCTTTCTTTGCGTATCAATGGGAGATTTTATATTAATTAGTTAGTTATATTTTATACGACACATTCAAGATACTAGACATACAAGAATTGAATTTTCTGCCAATTGGAAATGAAGATTGATACTTGTTATGTTTTCAATTTTTCGTTTTCTTTTTCTTTTTCTCCTGCTGTTTGTTTGTGTCAATTACTTTCTCTCTATAAATTTATCTATTTTTTAAATTTATAAGGGGCTTGCTTGTGTCTATAAATAATATTAAAACACAATAAATTTATTTCCGTATGTTTTCTGCATTTCAAGATTTTTTTTTTTGTTGAGAAATTCAAAATTCTGTTACAAATTAGTTAAAATTGAGTAGAAACTACCTTCAATCTCTATCTATTTTGTGATTTGATGCCACTCTGCAAATTATGATCTTTTTCTTGAATTTATTGCTTCTAATAATATATGATACACAGTGAAATTGTACTTGTAACAATTTTTTCTTGCAACTCCTAGAGATGCAAATGTATTAAATACACCACTGTAATTGGAGTTATTTAACACATTATTATTTTTTTTTTATTAAAAAAGTGATTAAGTTGATTATCCACTCTTGCAGTATAGATGATCTTACAAATGAGAATGAAATAATTTTTTTTTTTTAACAAAAGAGTCCGTAGCCAACGATATAAGTACATTTGGTGAATCCAATTTTCGTGTGCTTGCAAACTCAACCGATTTATCTATGCGGACTACATAGCAAACATATTCGAGATACAAAATTTGATCATTAAACCATAAATTATCTTCAAAGTTACACCAACATATATTTGATGAGATAAGAATTTTTATTATTTATAATAGTTATACTATATATTTTTCAACTAACAAATTACATAAAAAAGAAAACCATTGGCACCAATATTTGTATTAACATGCGAAATCTCTCGCCCCAGGACCATGATGGTTTGAAAACCATATGGGCTTTTTGGTTGGATGGTTTGGATAGATAGGTAGGGATGGGACTATTAATGTTGGTACTAATTTCATTATTAGTAATACTAATAATGGCATTTGGTTCGTGGAATTATCTAGCAAATGATAGACACATGATCAACAATCTTCTGTTTTGTTTGGTTGATTTTGAGTTATAACATGGGATTAATTGTAAAATGTCTAAAATGCCCAATTTAAATGAATATGGTGAGAAATTCAAAAGACATGCAATTTTTATTTTTTTCTGGAAAAAATGTGGACAGCTTTATATTCCAACTCCTTTACTATGAGGAATCAAACTATAAAGTCATATATTTTTGGCCTCTAAAACAATGAACAATAGATAAAGTGCTACAAAGTACAAATGTTCATTCCTTTATCAAACTCACAATTTAATTTTACTGCTGGATTTATTAAATGAGCTAATAGCAAAGACCCCCCTGTGTTATTTCTAATTGTTGAAAAAGACCTTGTGTTAAAAAAATTAACAAAAACCCCCCTATGTTTTATTTTAAAAAACATAGAGCCCCTTATTTTAAAAGTAGTTGTTGACTTACGTGAAATGACTCTAATATCCCTAGTTAGTTTTTAATAATATTTTAATTTTAATAAAAGAAAATAAAAGAAAATATAAAATTAATATAAAAAAAATAAAATAAAAAAGAAAAAAGAAAATGGACTACATCCGCTGCCGCGCCAACACACCCAACTTTTCATACCACATCCGCTGCCGCGCCACCACATCCGCCGCCGCACCACCACCACTTGAAACACATTCTTCTTCGTTGAACTTTGGGTTATTGAGAATGGTGAATTTCAAGTTTTGGGTTACCAAGAATGGTGAAGTTGAAGGTCATGATCAAAAAAAAATTTCCCAAATTTTTACATGGAAAATGGGGCTTAAGCTCTGTCCTCTTCCCCTTGTCTTCTTACCTTTTAGTTTTTCCGGATTTGCAACAAAACTGAGCTTGAGAATCTGGAGTCGATTGATGTTTTTTACAGGAAAAAAAAAATCAGAAAATGGGTCTAGAAAGATGGCCTTTTTGAAAATAAGAAGGACCGAATTGAAAATTTTGAAAACTTCAATTTGGTGCTTAAAATTCTAGGGTAAGTCTGTAATTTTTAAGACTTCTAATATGAAGGATATTTAGGTCATTTCAGGTCAAAAAAAACACCCCCAGACGCACATACGGCGAGTGTAGCGCACGATAACCTATCAGGGGCTTTTTTGGCTTTGACTAACTTTCGTAGGGGGGTTCTTGCTAATTTTTTTAACATAGGGGTGTTTTCGGCAATTAGAGATTTCATAGGGATAGTTTTTGCAAAAAACCCTTTATTAAATCTCTTATGCCTTTTTTTTCCTTTTATCTCTTGTATTTCTACTATGAGATGCTATTATTCTTTTAACGAGGACTTATTAATAGGTGGATGGTGCCTTTATAAAAAGAGGGTGCATATGTATATAAACTCATAGCCTCCCAAATCAATGTCATATATCATTTGTTTGCCTGAAAACAGAAAACCAGGAATACATTAAAATTTGAACTGTGTCAAAATAGCCATGTGTGTCAAAATAGCCATGACTGCTCAAAAAAGAACACACACACAAGCATCAAAGGCACATTAAAAAATGTGAAAGAAAAATCTAGTACTATAAAAAAAGTAATAATTCCTTAAAGAACTTGATCGATAAGATAATCAACCAACCTCTCAACAACGATGTTGCATTGTCCATGTGTCATGGGCTCTTCATAGAGACCAAAAGCTAGTGACTGACCCGTTTTCTTAATCGTTATGCCTCTTGACCCTTTTTTTCCATGAATGACAGCACCATATACTTTGTTCATCCAAGGAACAAACCAGTTGGGGTAAGATGACCATGTTCCTTGAAATAAGTCAGTATGCCTTGATCTGATGGAAGGTGGAGCTTTGAGCCCAATTAACGCCGTTGTGACTAAGGATTGCGGCGGCGACGAGGCGAAGGCCGGCTTGAACTGATTGACGGGTACAAATTGCAAATCATATAACAATTTGAAAGTCAAACATGTGAAATTGGAGGAAAAAAAAAAAGGTAAAACATTGCACTGTAGTCTCCAATTTTCGATTTTAAGCCTCTTTTCGTCTTCCCACAGCCAAACACGATGTTCTTCTACTATAAGAAGATTTATTTCAGCGTTCTTCGTTACGAAATTTCCCAGAATTTTCGAATTGATTCCCTTCCCTCTGTTTCTCTCTACCGATGCCGATGCTTACCTCTGTTTCTCTCTCCTGACGCTTACGATTCTCCAAGAAATATTTTATTTCTCTTTTTTTTATATGCAGTATCGACGCGTGAATTTACATCTTTATTGGTTAACCCCTGACTTGTTCTACCAGAAACAAAGATGATTAGACATGTTTAATAAGATGGAGAAACCAACGCTACTTACATGCAGATGATTAGGGCTCGGCGATATAGATTTTGTGAAGAAGATAACTATTTATATGTAATAGTTTGGTAATTAATTTATTTTTATAAGGGCTTTATTGTATTTACGCACATGGCCAGATGATGGGTTAATTGATGATAATTTGTCAAGCCGAAATTGGCTTGACAAATAGTCAGCTAATTAACTGATAAAATATGTGGGGCCAGTAATCAAGAGGAGGTCTAACACGACAACCAAACAATGA